CCTAACATTAACAATACTTAATTCCTTATCTCTATTACATCATTGTGTTGTTGAGTACTAGGAATAATCAATTTTCCAAGCATCCATTTCTCTTCACAGAGCTTTTTAAAAAAAACTCAAATAGATACTCGTTGCCTTGGTCAAAACTAAAAGCACAAAATCTTTTATCTAATTGATCTCGACCTCATATGTGCAATGTCAAAAATCATCTCAAAACTTTTGACTTATAGGAGATCAAATAGTCTTGACTCAGACGTGTATCGTAATCTATAAATGTGTCGAGATTGAGGCTTAGCTATCATACCCTTACACATATCTAGTCACAAAAATCATAGTGGACTAAATGCGCCAATACAAATGACCTTCTACGGCTTTCCTACTTACTTGTGCGCAACCATTGCGAACAAAGTTACACATTCACACAAGAGCAGGATGTCATAAGCGAGTGGGCCCGAGAAGGCCTACTCAAACCATCATGTCATCATCTCATTAATGTGATTGAGTATAATAAGCCACTGGTTCATGACCAATGTCATAAACTAATTCCAATCATCTTAATGTGTGAGTTCTCGAAGACAAGTTTTAAAGGTTTAGGCCCAACTAGGTAATGAGATATCAAGTGCGCCTAAGTCATAAATTTAACTAGTAAGTGCTAATCCCTTGCACCTTCAAGTCAATTTTATTCTCCATACACTTTACTGCATCTAGTTGAAAGATGATGATACTCCTCTTGCCATATCTATTTCTCGCTTCATAGTTACTTGCAATTAATTCTACTATTCACAAGAAGGAGAGAATAAGCTATTAACTATGACAACTCCTGAAATAACTTAAGCGCGAATTAGGCTAAAGAGTCTAATTCAACACAATGCTCTTACAAGCGATGTGTCAAGTTCTTAGAGTCATAACAACCTTGTCAGCCTTGACCTTTTCATTACTATGCTGCAACGTTTGCGCTTAGTGGTAAACGTTATTCAAAAACGTTAGCCTAGCTAAGGAATCATACAAAGAAGCCCCTCCTCATGTCTCACACTCAAGTGTGGAAACAGTAAGTGTCCAGACTAAGACAAGTCGGCAATGCTAATAGATTTTGCAGCCACTAAGCGCTAATCTTTTCACTTAGTGTTAATAGATTTTGCAGCTTCTAAGCGCTAATCTTTTCACTTAGTGTTAATAGATTTTGCAGCTTCTAAGCGCTAATCTTTTAACTTCACGTGATATTTCAACGCACACTATTATAGTGCATGAAATTTTTGCTCTATCCACTTCCAATAATTGGGTAGAGAGCAAAACACTGCTCATACTGGCTACTCGTCTTACACTTAATGACTAATTTATTTAAGCTCGCATTTCTTGGATGACGTGACTCTTGAATGTTACTTCATCCAATGATGTAACATTATTTACAAGTCAAATTACAAAGTCAATTCACACAGCTCAATAGTCAAGATCATATACAGATCTATTGAGGGCTTACTAATTTCATAACTCCAAAACTCACCAACCAAAATTACGTAGCATGCCGCTAACCATAGCGCACATATTAGTTTTTATTGTGCCAAACAAGGCAACAAAACCACGGCGACTTTGAGTCATGTTTCCTTACTTTGGCTCAATTAAGGACTGACCTAAAGTCTCCAAGACTTTTGCTCATCTAAAGAATAGGATTACATTGTTCACATTTGAACATCTTTACTAAGTCTAGGTCAACCACGAGGAGTCGAATTGCACGACTTAATGTAGGATGAATGCACATGAAAACACAACAAAACCTAACTCCATCATGGATGATCCGGAGTGTTTGCACATTTCTTTTTATTTTTATTTTTGTTTTTGTTTTTATAAAATTATATATTTCAAACCTACTTATACAGGTGATAATTATCCAAAATTTAATTTAATTTATGCGCAAAATATTGGTTTTCGTGAGTTAATCTACAAAGATTTCTCTCAACCGAATAACCTCCCACTGACTATGGCATGTCTAAAAGCATGATAAAAAATTCTAATTCCATACAATAGTATCATAATGTAGATTCACAACCAACTCATGCCATGTCATAATTAATAATGGAATTTAAACAAATAACAATTAATCATGCTATTTTAATTACAACATATTAGAAACTCTAGGCAAAAAATAACAATATGCCGTATTTAATATTCAAATTATGCCATAACAGAATGTACATTACTTCTGAAATTTTCTAGAATTTTCTGGTATTTTCTGGAATTTTAAATAACTAATAAACACACATAAAATTAGAAATAAATATTCCAGAATCTGGTAAAATGCTATAACTATACCAGTAAATAGCAAACTACAACAGTAGTCTACAATAAAAAAATTCAGCCCCAGAAACTTAATCATGCAACACCAGATGCATTTTAAACCAGAAATAATGAATTATTATTTCAGGAAAAATATTTTTTATTTTTATAAAAGTTTTAAAATTTTACAGAAGATAAAAAATTTAATTATGAGTCTAACGATACCAACCACGCTTAAAACAAAGCTATAACGAATTAATTACGACCATTTAACGCGATTCAGAATTTAAAAAACAAAACAAACAGTGCCTTATGCATCAGCAGCCAACCCGGCAGAGGAAAAACGACGTGGCTTAGCGCGCGACTCAGCATGCGGTGCGCGTGTGTGGCGCGGAGGGCGCGCTCGTGGACAGCGAGGAGGGCGCGCGCGTAAAAGCACGGAACAGTGTGCCCATGGCAGCGCGTCTCAGCACGTGGAGGCGCGTGAGAGCGTGTGACAGCGCGTGGCAGGGCGTGTCCGCCGCTGGCGGCGTCATCTGGAGCGTGAGGCACACCCGCCGCCTTCCGGGGTGTTTTTTCTGATTTCAGTACTCCCGAACTCCATTTTTCACAACAAAAACATTTATGGCTTCAAAAATCATATTTAATGAACATAAAAATGAGGTATACCACACTCTCAATCTAATGGGAGTTGAAATTTTCCTCCTTTATAAACATTCATGTATATAATGTGTACATATATATATATATATATAAAAAATATACACATGATTTGAGAAAATACAAAAATACCCATTCATGCTCTGATACCAATGTAAATCAAAGTATAAACACAGCGGATGAAAAATTATGGTCATACCTTTTTCTGCACAGTCTGAATTGAAGGATCTCGTGGATAAATCACGTGCTTCCTGAATCTGATCAATCATCCCAGCAATGGAGTGATATTACAGAATGAATATCACCCACACAAGTCACAGTGCAAAATGGCTCTTAATTGTTGTATTTTGGGAGAGAGTCAGTATATAGGAAAAACATACGACATACGTTGTTTTTCTCTTAATCACCCATATCCCATATCATATCAGATATATAGGATAATATCTCATCTATCCATATCAGTTGATATGATAGATATGGATATCCTGAGTGGTTATCCAAGTAAGTTTTGAATTCAAATTCAAACTTACATGGATAAGGTTCAAAAGGTTCAAAGGGTTATGCCACTTGGGCGTCCAATTTCTAACAAGAAGGTTAGGATTTGATAAACTATAATAATGAACTATACATTTTTTTTTACAAAGATCGACAGGAACAATCAGAAACACCAAATGGCAACTAAGGTGATAGTACGAGAAGTATATGAGGAAGAAATTTTTGGTAAAAATAACAAACGAAACATGGTTAATCTGGATGATCAACTACCAGGGCCAATCAAGAAAGAAAATAGTTGTTTTTAAAATTTGATTTTTATAACTTGTGGTTATAGTTTTTAGTTTTATATTTATGCATTTTTATGGACATGTTAGACACTAATTTCATCCTCGTCTTTTTTAAATTGAAATTGAGCTACAATTACTTAATATTGTAGGGGAAAAAAGACACACACAACCAACTACTTATAAGTGAAAAAACCATAACTATTCTCTGCCTACTCTCCCTTATAGTAAATATGTCACATAATAGTAGTGGCTTATGTTTTCAATTTTTTAAAATTATAAATGCAAAATTTAAAATAGGGATTTTTATTGATAAGTCCAATTTAGAAGTGTTTTAACCCAAGAAGTCCATGAAGGAATTCTTTAACCCATTTAGTCCCATGTATATATAGTTTTATTCCATAAAGTCCATTTTCTTGATTTACACTATTTTCTTGGACACTTATGCCCTTATATTTAATTTTGATACCCTTATAAATATTTTTTCAACGATTAGCAATTTAATGATGTGAACATTCATATTTTAAAATTCACATTTGTAGGAATGTAAATTGGCCCGTGGGTGGCCCGAAACTCGCCCGCTAGCCAGGGCGGGTCCGGCCCGTTGACAATGTGAATATTCACATTGACATGTTAACATTCACATTGATAAGAGTATAAAATTGGGTCGCGGCCCATGGGCAGGCAAAATCCCGCCAGCAACCCGAGACGGGCCCGGCCCGGCCCGGCCCGTTGACAATGTGAATATTCACATTGACATGTTAACATTCACATTGATAGGAGTGTAAAATTAGCCTGCGCCTCGTAGCTACCCGAAACCTACCCACGGCCCGTGGGCGGGCCCGGCTCAGCCTGTTGACAATGTGAATGTTCACATTGACATGTTAACATTCACATTGATAAGAGTATAAAACTAGACAGCATCCCGTGGCGGCGCGAAACCCGCCCGCGGCCCATGGGCGGCCCGGGGCAGGCCCGGTCTGGCCCGTTGACAATGTGAATATTCACATTGACATATTAACATTCACATTCACAACCTATTAATTATGATTTTCAATTGCCCTTCATCCTGACAAAATAGGGTTCCTGGTTTCCTTTCTAGAAGAATTTTCTTAAACTTCTTAGTACAAATAATATAATCAAAATCATTTATACTTTAAGTTCCAATCACCACCATAAAAAAGAGCTGAGATTCAAAGCATCATCCCAAACCCTTAAAAGTACAAGAAGAAAACAGAAAATGCAACACCATAGAGCCAAGCAAACTAAAAATAAAAAAAAGATAAAAAATAATAATAAAAAAATCAATCTCATTCAATGATATATTCAGTTTTTGGAGCATATGCACCTATACAACCTCAATTTATAGGCCTAATATATCTATAATATTGCCGATACAATATACAACCCACAAAAATTTCATCGTCACTGAAAAGAGATGAAATCCCCTTGAAAAATTATGTACATAGAACAAATATAGAATCACGGTAATAGTTCAAAATTGTATCTGACCTAAAAATCTTGTGACAATCCAAGGCCACCCGTTTGGGTCTTTCTCTGTTCATAGTCCAGATCATCAGTAGGCAATTCATACCGACAAACAGGGCATGTATTACGAATACTCAACCACGGGGCAATGCAGTCCCCGTGGTAATGGTGGCAGCAAGGAAGCCTTGTCACTTTCTCCTCCACCAAAATGTCGTCCTTACAAACCGCGCAAACCATGTTTTCTTGCAACATTTCCTTTGTCATCACCAAAGTAAGAAGATTTTCCACAATATATTTGGAAGCTGGAGGACTACCCTTCAAAGCACTCTCATTCTGCACAAAATGCCCGAATAGCGTATCGTATTCAGCTGCATATGTATAATCATCCTGAAAAGCTAGATACGAAACACCATCGCTATCACCTTCGTGTTCGAATTGAGGGGCTCTCTCCCAATTATTCACAGCCAAAAGAACTTCCCATTCGAAATTCCAAACAGACTCTTCCCCACTTTCATACGTTTCTTCGTTGCTTGAAACTACGGAAGACACTGATAGTTCTTCGATTCGATCAATAATAGAGCTCAAACCCTCCCCTTCATAAACCCTTTGGTCCACTTCTTCCCACTCCAATTCTTCATTGCCAGACCTTTGTTCATCAAACACAAGACAATCAGAGAAAAGGGGAATATCCGAATCCCAAATAGGATCTTCAGAATTGACATCCTGAACGACCTCCTCAGAATCCGAATCTGAATTCGATTGGTTTCCAACTACTCGAAGACCGTCCGTAGCGGCACGAATGGACGATGATGGTTCACCCAATTCAGACTCGACACGGGACCCAAACCCTAACCCTAAACCTAGCTCCTCCCCGTAACTCCAAACGTCCAAAACCCTATAATTGACGTCGCGGGTCAAATCATGAACGTCGTCCACAGCAAATTCTTTTTCTTCGCGAGATGCGAACAAGTCCGTGACGAAAATCATCTGGTCCTCTTGGGCGCCGTCAAAGCAGTTTGGATCCGAATCAGATAGAGAGTCGGAATTGGAGGGTAGGACGAAGGAGATATTCGGAGGAGAGAGATGCATGGGTCATGGGCCAATTTTACACTCTTGTCAATGTTAATGTTAATGTTAATATGTCAATGTGAATATTCATATTGTGAACGGGCCGGCCCGGGCGACGGGCTGGTTTCGGGCCGCAGGCCAATTTTACACTCCTATCAATGTGAATGTTAACTTGTCAATGTGAATATTCATTTTATCAATAGGCCAGGTCGGGCCTATTTTTTTGACTTGTGGGCCGGCCCGGCCTGACTCGAATTTTTCCGGGCACCCACGAGAATCGACATGAGCCGGGCCCCTACACATTGTCGATATAAACATTTATATTGACGGTGTGAACATTCACATTAAGGGTATTTTGGTAATTATGTCACCCATAGGACTTATTGAAACATAAGAAAATAATGTGAACTAAATGGAACATAAGTAGATGAAAAGGGTATTTTGGTCTTCTTATCTCAAACTGGGCCTAATGGAATAGTAAAAAAGAATATGGGTTGGATGGAATAAAGCTCTTAGAAAATAGATTTATGAAAAAAGCTCCCATTAAAATAAGTTTAACTTAATTTTTACACTTTTAAAAATAATTCACGTGCAACGCGGATCATAACTAGTATTTTTTTTTCTTAAATAAGAAAAAAGGAAAAAAGATTTTTAAAGTGAAAATTATTCAGTGTGTTTTATATTGACGGTGTGAACATTCACATTAAGGGTATTTTGGTAATTATGTCACCCATAGGACTTATTGAAACATAAGAAAATAATGTGAACTAAATGGAACATAAGTAGATGAAAAGGGTATTTTGGTCTTCTTATCTCAAATTGGGCCTAATGGAATAGTCAAAAAGAATATGGGTTGGATGGAATAAAGCTCTTAGAAAATAGATTTATGAAAAAAGCTCCCTTTAAAATAAGTTTAACTTAATTTTTACACTTTTAAAAATAATTCACGTGCAACGCGGATCACAACTAGTATTTTTTTTTTCTTAAATAAGAAAAAAGGAAAAAAGATTTTTAAAGTGAAAATTATTCAGTGTGTTTGGTTTCAATTTTCTAAAAATTAAATTTTTTATTTTTCGTGTTTTTTTATTTTTAGTAAATATTTTTGAAATTTTAAGCATTTTTTTACTAGATGCATCTAAAAAGTAAAATATTTGTGAAAAATTTTCAAAAAATTAATAAATATGCAAAAATACATAAAATATACTGAATTTTTATTTTTATTTTTTTTGTATTTTTGGTATTTAGTGAATTTCTTAAAGATTTTTTTCATCAAAATTATACTTTTTAAGTATATTTATGTTAGGTGTGTCTAAAAATTTTAAAAATTGCTTAAAATATTAAAAAAATTCAGTAAAAACAAAAAAATACGAAAAAAAAAGTAAAATTTTTTGAAAAGTATTTTTAGAAAACCCAAACCAAGCAAAGTGATTGTTTTTATTAGAAAAGGTCCAAAATTAAAAAAATAAAATAAAAGTTCATATCAATTTGAGAAAATAGGTTTAAAAACTCCTATTATGCCTTTTAAACAATTGTCTCAATGTTCCCTAACAAAACACATAAGAAAGCAAAAACCATTCCCAAAAATAGGAAAAGAAAAATGGGACAAGAAAAGGATAATAAGACCATCCACAATAGTAAACAAAATATATCCAAAGAGTATGAGCTTAAAGAAGATGAAAAACAAGGAGAGAAGTTTATAACATGAAAACAAAATCCTAATTAACTAAACAAACCCTAATCAACCTATTTTCTAGTTGTTTTAAGGGCAAAACACAAATAAATATAACCATAGTAACAAAAACACAATAAGACTATCGTTTTAACCCAATACAACGCATGCCTATCAAACTAAATCACTACCAAACATGAGAAACTCTAGTATCTTAGTTTACTAAAAAAACAACAACTTTAGATGATTAAAGATCAAGTTATAACAACATGATCATTCCAATAGTGGAAGGATCGTATTGCCAACCTTTTAGGTTCACAGCAAAAGAAAATAGAAAAGAAAACAAGCAAAGAAAACAATAACCAATACTAAACAAACCGGATAGCTAACCTATATATAACTGTGGGAATATATTTTTTGAGTCCCAACACGTGGCCAATGTGACGCCGACGTGTTAGCTGAGGTGCCACGTGTCCAGGTTATGACGTCGAGGTGATCTCGACTAGGCCGAGGTTATCTCCGAAGATATCGGAATCCGAGATAAGCGGATAGGGGACAAGAGTCCTATAATAAGGAGGGACTTTACCATGGATAAGGATAACGCTCTTAAGGAGTTTATCTTTATCTCTTGGAGAGTCCAGGATAAGCACTGAGCAAAAGTCCATCGAAGCTAGGCTTCTATAGGGACTAGGATTGAGTTAACTATAAAAGAAAGGCACCCCCGATGGGTCTAAGGTACGCAATTTATATCCTGAACTGTGAATTTAGCACTATTGATTATCTTTGAGAGAAATACTGACTTGATCGTTGGAGTGTCCCCGGGTGGACGAACCACCGCCAGAATCTACTCTTTTTGTTGCAGGTCAACCAGGTGCCATCTATTTTGCTAGTACTCTCCAATTGAATACTAAGTTGGCAGTGTGATCGAAAAATTACTCACACAATTTGGCGCCGTCTGTGGGAAAGAAAGGAGAGTAGATGGCCAACGACGGACAGAAGGATAAGGTTGGGGACGAAACCCCTGCTGGGAACGGTAAGTACAGTGATCCTAATATGGAGGAAGATGATCGCAATGAGGAGACTCAGAACCATAATCACGACACGAAAGACGTCGGCCAGGATGGCGACATGCCAAAGAAACCAGATCGAAGCGGATACTACAACGAGGATGATCTCTAGGAATGGAAAAATAGATGCCTGAGGAGGGACGAAGAGGTGAAAGAGATGGCAAACAAATTGGAAGACCTGCAATCGGTCATCAATTTTATGATGCAAAATAACGTCATGCAGCCACCATACTCGCTGCAGGACACGTCGATTCCGGTGGCCAATGCCCAGAAGGGAGGGCAGAAACCAATCCCAATAGCTCCTCAGCACACCAGAAGCGAGAAACACTCTCACCGGCCTTCCAGAGAGGTCGGGCGAGGAGAGCCAAGGAGAGAAGAGTCACGAAGGACACATCGCACTAAAGAAGCAGACCCAAGAGAACATCAGCACGTTCAAAGGCAGGAGCTGTGCTTTGACACAACACATGGAGAAAGGTCGAAAAGGGCCCACAACGAAGCTGAGAGTAGTATGCCGAAAAGACTAAAGTCGGGAGATAGCTGAGCTCCTGGGCGGACAAAGGAGGACTTGAGAGATTACCTCAAGAGGAGGCAACAGAATGCCGATGCCGAGGTAACCTCCCTTGATAAGCCGAGAACACCCTTCTCAGCGGAATTGGACAAATTCGAAGCGCCAAAGAGATTCAGTATGCCGAGATTCCAAATAAACGATGGTAAGTCAGACCCCAACTTCCACGTTGGATTATACTTGAACTCAATGGCATTGTATAGTGGGAACGAGCCGTTGCTCTGCAAAGTGTTCCCCTCATCCTTTAGGGAGATTGCATCAGATTGGTTTCACAAACTACCAAAGGGAAGTGTGAAGACCTGGGAAGGCCTGGCCGAGATGTTTGTGGCTAGGTTCGTGACAAACAAGCTACAGCCATTAAGGGTGGATGCATTGATGGCCCTGAAGATCAGTAAGGATGAAGGCCTTAGGGCCTATGCAAAAAGGTACTATGAGGTGTTCAACCGAATACCAGAATGTAATCAAGAGGTGACGGTCGTATCTTTCAAGAACAACCTAAAAGACGACTGTCCACTACGAAAATCTTTGGCGAAGACATTGCCAAAAAGTATGGAAGAGCTCATGGCGAGAATCGAGAAGTATGCCAGAGCCGGGGAAGATACATCGGGGACTAAGGAGGCAAAACAAAAAAAAAGAAACGGCTCGCCGAAGCGAGGTTGAGGTAACAAGAGATCCAGCAAGCAAGAGATAGGAATGAGGGTTACACAGGCAATTACGACTGTGTTCCGAATCCCAATTCACAAAGTGCTGGACAAAATTCGGAACCAGCCCTATTTCAGAGCACCAGTAAGGGCACCAGGAGAGTTTATGGAAAGAAACTTTGGCAGACATTGTGCTTACCACAATGAAGATGGGCACATGACTCAGGGTTGTAGAGCCCTGAAAACACACTTAGAAGACCTAGTGAGGCAAGGCTATCTGAGAGACCTTGTCGATGAGGCCAGGACAAGGGAGGAATAGACAAGATTGCCTCAGGCGACAGCAGCTCCACCTCTCCCAGCACAACAACCTCAAGCAGGAGGACCTCGGGTAATTAATGTAATTCACTCGAAGGTCAACGAAAACAAGATTCGGGAGGAGACCCAGAAGGTAAAACACCTACAGCATGTCTACCAAGTCGGGGAGAAGAGACATCAGGCAGAAGGGTGCCAAGGACCAGTAGTGTCCTTTACTGAAGCCGACCTTGAGATGGTGCAACATCCACACAACGATGCCTTGGTAGTATCCTTCCAAGTTGGGGAATGCCAAGTAAAGCGCATCTTAATCGACCAAGGCAGCTCTTGTGACATCATGTGTGTCAGATGTTACAAGGAGCTTGGCCTTCATCCAGACGATATGGAGCAATCCAATAGCCCAATGGTTGGGTTCAACGGAACGCCGACATGGCCACTGGAAACGACAAGCTTGGAGGTGCAGGCTGGCACCAAGAAGATAAAGACAGAGTTCACCGTAATCGACACACCCTTCCCTTATAATATCATCTTGGGAAGGCCATGGTTGCATGCAATGGGGGCTGTTCCCTCAACACTGCATCAACTATTACGATTCCTAATAGAGCATGGGATTGAGGAGGTCAGAGGAGATCAGCTGCAGGCAAAGAATTGCTCCATGACAGCAATGAAATCCACCTGCAGCATTCGAGAACCAGAGAAGGCAGAGATCGAAGACGAGGACGTGGAGGTCCTAGAGGATGTGGGCAAAGAGTTAGCTGAGAAGAGTG